TAAATCTGTTCAGTCCAAAGAATCTACAGCAAATTCAATCATTTTATTCTGCAGGAACAAGCACTTGATTAAAAGCTGAAGAGTAACTTGGAGGTCAAGATTTTGCTACACTAATTTCAGGTCAGGGCCCATGTTCATTCCTGGTACATAAAACACGCCACAAAGAAGGAATGAGATACACAGAGAAAAGGAGGGAGGGAAAGCAAAAGAGAGAGAGAGAAGTAAAAACATAAATGCGAGGTCCTGCGAGAGGAGATCCCCTTTTCAGCGCATAAAAATTGAGTGCAAATTTTCAAGGACATGTTTCTCATAAGTCTTGAAAACTATGCTGAATTTTCAGACATTGTAATAAGAACAATTAAAATATAACCAAATGTTTCCTGGGAACAATGAGCAGGGCGGGGGGTGGGGGAGGAGGCAGGGAAAAGAATGCGTTTTTAAAGAAGCTTAAACATGTAGCCAATAGCATATTTAAGAATCAATCTGGTCATTAAAAAATATATATTTTTATAGCTTACGGATCTTGCATTGGCATTTCTGGTATACTTACTGTTAGGAATCATTCTGACAGTACATTTAAGCTTTCCAGATGTTTTACTTGTCATTCTACCAAAGCAACAAAACTATGTTTAAAATGCAAAATGCGCTAGCAACGATAGGTGGCAATTATTTCCTAGATTGACTCAGAAGTAACTCTTAACAAAAAAACATGTATTAAGTAATATTGTATGAACAGGGCTAGCTGGGTCAACTGCATTCAATACCATCTGCTTTGTTTATATTGCAAATCAAAAGACTTCTCAGCTGGTCCATGCACAAAGACGTTACAAGTTACCATACTTATGTTGGAAGGAGAAACAAAATTCATTTTTTAAAGGAAATATTCTGGCATGTGGGTAAATAGTTGGGGCAAATATAGGTAGTGTAGGGGAGAGAGGAAATCATTTGATATTGAGATTGTCAGACAGGAAAAATGTTTTTTACAATATCACATATGCCATTTCCTTCTGTAAGCCTCTCGCCAGCCTATACAATGTAGTTGATGAGCCAACAGAAAACTGTAACATGTCTTCCAAATTCATGTCAAAGGAGCTCTCAAACTATAACTTTGCTGCATTCCTGAGGAATCCTTCAGATTTATTTTAGAAACAAAGATACTATTACTGATTGATTATTAACTCTTCAGAGGTAGAAGGAAATAGAATCATGATTTCCTTTTGTTCTGACTAAAAATCTTGAAATCTCTATTTTCATTTTTACTTATTGTCAACACAGTTTGAACTAATGAGACTTCCCTCTCAAATGCAGAGAAGAAAGTACACGCAAAAACAGGCACAAAAATCCATGTATGTGAAGAGAAACATTTAAGCCTCCCAGTGATACTATGATACTTTAAGACAGCCAATTATAACAATCAAATTTTGTGAAAGTCAATGAAAATCCATTTCTGGGACCAAGTTACGACATGAACAGTCATTTGCTTCATGATCATTTTCATTATTATCTGAATTCATTTTATTTAAACTCTGTCTACAGAGTCAGGAAATGAACGGTTTTTCCCTAGGTAGCTCTCCATCTTACAGCAGGACAGAAGAAAAATTACTTTCCAGAAAATCAGCCATAGCTGCGTTCTGATGTCAAGTGTTGCTATTATAATTCTGAATGGACTAATTTTCTCCTTTGTTTTCTTTCTTTTGGTAATATAGCATAGTTACGTGAAGGATAAGTTATTTGTTTGGTTGAATCAGTTGCTATCTCACTCGACTGGATACTGTGTGTCTCAATATTTTCTGCCTACCTTAGTTCCTTTCAAAACTTGTGTTATGAGTCCATAAATCATTTTCCATTTCCCTAATTTTTTTTCTAACACATTTGTTTTATAGTTATTTAAATTCTACTTTTTATTAGTAATTTTTTTTTTCCTGGTGCCCTTATTAATGACAACAGGATTAATTGGAGCTGCAGAATCTTCAATAGCTTCATTAAGAATTAGATAATTTTGTGAATTATCACAGCGCATTTTTATGCATACACTCTCTACCAAGCTGAAGTGCTCTGAAGGTAAGAATGAAACTGGCTTCATCTTAGGGTCCCCAGGCCTGCTATACAGGCATTAAATATTAATATTTACTGAGGAACAAATAATGCAGATGGAAATAAATTTTTTTTTACCTCATTTGAAGTTAATAAAAGATTAAAAATAATAAGTGGTAGATAATTATTTAGTGGCTGCTGGATTTTATAAACTTAATTTTTGTTGCTTACTGATTGTTTCTCCATCTGCTTTTGGCCAGTCTTACAGATAATGAAGCAGACATAAATATAGACTTTGGCACTGATGGGAACATGGGTTTCACCTGTCTTCGTAACAGACTACTCACCACGAGTAAAAAGACCTAAATGAGGGGCCATGTCAAGCCACTTCTGTTCATTTTACAAACTTAAAAACAACCCAGGTTTAAAAAATTGAAAACAACCTGCAATCTTTTTTAAAATAAAATAATTTTTCGTTTGATATATTATAGAATATATATTCTCAGTCACACAAAACTTATCCTATGAAAACAAGCCAATGCTGTATTCAGGTAAATACCTACACTGCACAAAGAAGACATTCATTTCTTTCATACATTTGTGAAGGTGATAGTTGAGCCCATGATTCCATATTATAATGTTTCTTAAATCAGAAGCACCTGTTGACACACAACATAGCTATGTAGTTTCGGTAAGAACAAGAGTAAGAGAATGTGGCTTCTCTTTCTGAAATAAAACTTTACCAGTGCTGGAAGCAAATGCCATGTGACTGGCAGGGCTGTTGCCAAGGAAGCAAGAATCAGAGCATTAAATAAAAGATTGTGGTACATTAATGCTGGTTCCATTTCTCTAGAGACTGCTTTTCTAGAAGATAACCAAAATAACAAAGTAAAGAGTTTGGTAAAAATGTTTATGTCTTTTCCTAAGTCCAAAATAAATTGTATATAATGTGGGATAGTAATTAGAAACCAAAAACAACCACTACCTGCATTTGGTCCCCAAAGACCCAAAGAGATTACGGCATTGCTTAATAAAATCTAGATATCATAGCTGATACCAAGACCCTAGCTATGCCTAGTAAAAAACATTGTCATACGTAAGAACGGGTAGACCTAAGAGTTTCCTTGGTTCAGACATAGCAAGGTGATGTTCATCTGGGGATTTTTATTTCTGTTCATACTCTAGATATATCCCAAAATGAGATGAGTCAGTGATTGACTGAGTTTGCCTACAAAGAGAACCCCAAGTAGATTTCAAGAGAGTAATTTTCTTCTGTAGGCTTCTTAAACGACCACGTTAGTACGATTTCCCTACAGAAAGCCCAGTCAAAGGTTGCAGAAGTTGTTTGTGCTTCACCCTCTCTAAATGACTTGCAAATTTATTCAAACACAACATGAGGAGATGCTTTATTTGTTGAAATAACTGTCTGCAGTGTCCTGCACTAAAGGGTGAGGTACATCAAGCAGAAACATGGACAGAAATACATTAGTTTCAAAACCCATAAATCCTTATTTGAATCTGCCAACCTGAAAGCTATGAAGAGCCTGAATAAACTATTTTTCCTAAATGCTACATCTGATTAAGCCATACCATTAAATGACAGCTGAACTTTAACATTAATATGATATTATTTAAATAACCACATGATTTTTTTTACACTAAAAATGATGAATGATTTCTGGACAGCACAATTGACATAAAGCAGGCGGACTCTTTAATGAGATTTGACAAAATGGAGACATATGCAGAATATTCGTTACAGCTCACGTTGCAGGAGCCCTCCCAGGGAAGCAATAGAGGTTTTTTCCCCCCTTTCTTTTTTATTGTCTACAGGCACTGAAGCATTCCTTTCAATCGCCACTTCCCTTCTCTGTGAATTTTGAGTTTTTCTTAGGTAATTTAGATATTACTCTGAATCAGAGAATTTGGTGGTTTATGGTTCTGAGTTGGGACTGCGTGTCCAGGAAAAGGGGAGGCAATATAGCATTAGGCCAGCCTTGGCTGGAAGTGAGCTTTAGGCTCGCTCCTGGTCAGGCCGACAGAAGAATCTCATTGGCCTTGAAGATTAAACAACCATACATTTGATTGGTTCACATGCAATAAATCTCTAACACAGCAAACATATTTTTAGCAAATTACTGTATATGGATACACAATCAGAGCAGACTTTAGTTATTTGTAAACAGTTGTCACTATAGTATCAGCTATAAAGCAGATTTCCTTCTTTAAAATTCTAATGAAGCTATTCCAGAGGTCATTCTCAACATTTCTCATTTACTTTTCTATCTACAGTTCCAAACTGACAGCCATGCTAGATGATAGTCTTATTTGGTAGATTCTGAATGTAAAATAATTCCATGCTGAATATGCTTATAAGGATATTACCTACACTCATTCATTTACTTTTTCGTACTCATACATTTTCCATCAAAGTTTAGATGCACATATAAAACATAAACATTTGCTTGTTAGCACATACAAGTTTATTCAAATCATTTTACATTTTATGAATCATCTTTAAGTATATACATAAAATGGAAATGCTTCCCCAAACCTTAAAGAAATGAAAACAAGGCAACAGAGAGCAAAGCTAATACCAAGTGTACTCCTGATAGTGATAAGCCTGCATTCTCTCTGTAAGAAGGAGGCTATCAAAATAGAAAATAAATCAGACTGCTCTTGCCATGGGGCCTTCCTCAGGCTATAAAAAAATACTTCATGTCTAACCCTAATTTTTTCCATAGCTTGAGGTAACCCCCCTAGCTCAAGCCTTCTCTATAATCTGTATTAGTATGTGTCCCTGTCCAAACAAGAGTTAATATCAGTGCTGTTTTATTTCAAAAGGGTATTGACACAAGGCACTAAGAGCAGAAGCTCAAAAGCCTGTAAAATGCCCCATCACAAGTGGATGAAAACAGTATTAAAAAAGAGAATGAGAGGAAGACAGGTCCCTACCTTGCTCTTACCTTCGCAACATCCCCGTCAGGATCCTGGAGCTTTTCCCTAAATTAGCATCTGTTTCCCGAAGCTGGAAGAAGAAAAGCAACATCAAAACAAAACGAAACTATGTGCACTTAGATTATTTCTAAAGTGCATGGCAAGCAACAATTTATTTCATGATAGAAAATCCAAACAATGAAAATGCTTAAATATACAAAAATACACACATTTCTGATAACTATGCAGACTACAAAAATTCTTAGATTCTGAAAATGACATGTGAGAGGTAATCCCAGAGGCTTTAAACTGGATACTTGAACTGGATATAAAAGCAAGTGTCTCGCAGGCTGACAACAGTTAAAGTACACCTCGTAATTTATCTCCAGTTTATGAATGGACAACGTCTTAAAAATACAAACAAAAACAAAATGAATGAAGGAAGGATAAGACATAAATGTTTTTATAGGTTTCACTCTGAAAGACTGACATACTCCAAAATCTCCCTCAATGACCTTCTCAGCTACAGGGCTGAATAAAATATACCCCTGGGGGCATTCTGGGATGGAAAGAAAAATAGAGTCAGCTTTTTTCTCCATCTCAGTCTCTTTCTTTTTCTCCACACAGGCTTTACATACTCTGCCACCCTACCCATATTTATGCAAATTCACATCTACGTAATTGTTGTTGTGTATGTCCCAGTGACCTTTCCTTTATGTTGTCTCATTTACGAACATGTGAAGGAACTGTATGACTTGTGCTCACCCTTTCACGTGCCCGCTGTATCTTTTCTCTGTCGTGACTGAGGTTTTCCAACATCTCCTGACCGATTTGCTCTATGGAAAAGAAAATTTGAGTAAGGAAAGACAATGTGGAGTACATGCAAGAATAACTTTCAAAAGTATCAAAGTGACATGAAATGTTAAAGTAGCTCACATATACATCAGACACATATTTCAATTCATGTATTTTGACAAATATAAACTGGATTTGATAAATGTATCTATTTATCTTAGGTATGATTAGAAATTTGACCTGTAGAACATAACCAACATGGCGATCATGATTTAGAGGTGATGTGACTTGCCCGGGCCACTCTGGCAAATTATCAGCAAAGATGGAGGAGAGTCTAGGTCCAAGGGTCTATTATCTTGTCATCATGGAATTTAGCATTTGGTTTTTATAGATTATAAGAAATGTTAATGATTCCGCTCTACCTTCTTTACTCATTATGGTGCCATTTTGCATATGTAAGTCGGTCTCCATTTAGAACAATTTTGACTTTAATGTGTTCACATTGCATAAGTCATCCCCCTAGTCTCACCTACTGTAGCTTATTGGTAGCAGAACTATCTCTAGGCTTCTGGACTCTGAGAGGTGAAGGCTCCTTTAATGTGTTATCAGCTTCTACAGATACTTGAGTTAAGTCAAGGTGAGTTGCACTCATTAATAGGTAGTTGAGGAGCCCTCACACTGCAGGCAGGGCTTTCAACCGAGAACTTCCAAACATTTATACTGGTAGAGGCAGCTTAGAACATTCATTAAAAATCTAAGTTTCAGTGGGGTTTTCCCCTGCCACCATCATCTCGTTTGGTTGGCAATAGGCAGTCTCTCCTCTGATTGCAGACTCCTTTATGAGACAGCAGGTATGTCTTGACCTCACAAATATCCAGTTGCTTGAATACATTTTTTTCAGACTCATTCTCCATTATCTGGAAGATGCCTTGTTCTATGCTAGCAGAATGCCAATCTGCCTCTCTTAAATCTTGGCAACTTGTCTGACTTCCCTATTCTACATCTTTCTATTTTCCCCTCTTGTATTGTCTCTATCTATAACAATGATCATCTCTGGCTTATAAATTTGTAGAAATATTGAACAAGCATCTGTTGTAATAATAGCAAATAATTTAATAAAGTCATGAAGAAATAACCACGGTAGTTATTTGCCTCATGTACGTACACTGACAAATTTTTTAAAAGGACATCTTAAAAACTGTAGAGCAGCTGTTAGACCACACTGAGAGCTTTGGCTATAAATTCACACTGCTTGAGCCGAAATCCCAGTGTGGACCCTTACTAGTTACATGGGCTCATGTCAGAGTTAGCTGACTTCATTATGCCTCAGTTTATTTATAAAATGGGAAGAATAATAATAGTATTAAAACATGGGGCTGTTTTGGGGTTCAGTTAGATAGTTCAGTTAAAATATTTAGCACAAGCGGCTGGGCACGGTGGCTCACGCCTATAATCCTAGCACTCTGGGAGGCCAAGGTGGGCGGATTGCTCGAGGTCAGGAGTTGGAAACCAGCCTGAGCAAGAGCGAGACCCCGTCTCTACTGTAAATAGAAAGAAATTAATTGGCCAACTAATATGTACAGAAAAAATTAGCTGGGCATGGTGGTGCATGCCTGTAGTCCCAGCTACTCAGGAGGCTGAGGCAGTAGTATTGCTTGAGCCCATGAGTTTGAGGTTGCTGTGAGTTAGGCTGACACCATGGCACTCACTCCAGCCTGGGCAACAAAGCGAGACTCTGTCTCAAAAAAAAAAAAAAAAAAAAAAATTTAGCACAATCACTGGCTCAGAACAATAATAATAAGCATTGGTTGAATGACGATGATGGATATAAACAAATCAATGGACTATTAGGACTTTGACACCCTCCTATTCTGGTTCTGTCATAACTCACTTGAGCTAGAATTTTATTCATAGGATACAATATCTGTCCTACTTTTCTCATAAAATTAATGTTATGATCAAACGAGACAGCCTAAGTAAAAATGTTGTGGAAGCTATAGGGTGCTGTACAAATGTATGTCATTGTATAGCGTATAAGATTCAAAGCACAGTCAACAAATTAGGATTGAGTCCCCATGTTGTGCCAGGTATAGGTGACAGGGATGTGGCCAGTAAACAAGAGCAAGCGTTTGCACTCATGGAACTTCCATGCCAGTAGTGAAGATTTAGCAGTTCAAGGCAAATGTTACAGCAAAGTTTATATTTCAAAGCACATCAGAAAAAGAACTATATATTCTTTTCATGATAGAAAATCCAACTAATAAAAAATAGTTACATACACTACAATAAATATATTTTTGACACTGTAGAAACTGAAAATTTTTTCCCAGTATAGTACCTCCTCTTAGATTTATTTTAGCTCTTTATTATTAACTCTATACAATTTCTCCTAAAGGTAAAATTGGATAAGATATATGGCTCCCAGTGGAAGCATCATAAAAGTGGAAGATGATATCAATAACGGAGAAGGAGGAAATAACTGAAGTTGAATTTTTCTTTCTTTGAATAACTACTATAATATTCAATTTTGTCATACTGTGATTGAATTTCTTTAATCAATATAATATAGCAATCTTAATTCATTTTAACTTAAAATCTGTAATATATATGAGCACCATCAAAACCATAATTTTTCCAACAAAATACTATTTATATAATATTTTCTTCTATCCAGGTTGATGGTATTAGAATCCATAATCTCAACACAATAGGAAATAGGTTATTACTACTGTATGTATGGCCTGTATAGTGTCTCCAGTAAGTATTTGTAGAAAGAATGAAGAAATAAAGGAATGAAATAAAGTGAAAAACAAAGTATATGAAAGGTTCCTATTCCCAAAGCCTATTAAGGGTGGCACTGGAGAAGACAACATCACAAAGCAGATAATAGATCCATAATTCTATCAGGCTCACCAGGGGAAAAACTCTACTTTGTATGGATCTATAGTCTGCTACTGATGAAATCAATGAATAAGGGGTAAAGAGATTGGGCCTTTTCAGGAGTCATAAGCCACTCCCACAATTTCCTTCCCTCCTGGGAAATAGCTCAGCATCCCAAGTCTTAACTGTATCCGGTAAGAGAAAAGATATTGGCAAGAGTGTACATATCCTAATCTTAACACCTAAAAACCATGCATTTGTTGGAAACTATTCTTTTTTGATTTCTTACTTGCTACCTCCCATTTTAATGCTCTAATAAAGAAAATTCAAAATGCTTGCTCATTTGGAATGAAAAAAAAAAAAGATTAATGCAAAGAAAGTTATATGTTCATTTGTTTTAGAGACAAGGTCTCACTCTGTCGCCTAGGCCAGGATGCAGTGGCACAATCATAGCTTACTGCAGCCTAGAACTCAAACTCCTGGGCTCAAGTGATCCTCCTGCTTCAGGACCACTCAGTAGCTGAGTAGCTGGGTCTACAAGCACGCACCAGTATGCCCCACTGATTTTTTTTGTTGTAGAGATCAGGTCTTGCTATATTGTCCAGGTTGGTCTCAAACTTTCCTCTGCAAGTAATCCTCCTGCCTTGGCCTACCAAAGTGCTAGGATTATAGGTGCAAGGCACTACACCCAGCCCTGTTTTTTTTCCACTATGGGTCTCCCTCTCCCAGTCAAACCAAAACCAAACAAAAGACAGCAAATTATATATTTTTAAATATAGACTATCATTCCTCAGAAAAGTATCAAATATTTTGGGAATTTTGCATTAAAAATTAGTAACATTATGAGGTTTTTCTTGAATAACTGAACTTAAGATGTAAGCAATCACCAAAAACACCAAAAAAGAAAGAACCCAAGCTCATAGGCCTAAACCACTGGCAGATGTGATATACTGAGTCTAGACATTTCAGTTCTTTAAATTTTCATAATGTCTTTAGAATGGGAATAGCCATACTGCTGCTATTAAGATAATTTGAGAAATCATAAGTGTTATAAATACTCTATGTGTTGACTGTGAAGATCTTGAGATCTTGAGATTGGGAAGCATAAAAGAAGTAAAGGCTGATTCTCTATGTTGGAATTCTACATGTCAGTATAAGCATGATAAATGAATTCCTGAAAAACAGTTCCTTCCTGCACTTCTTCTATCATTTCCACAGGGGTCCTGGGAAGCATCCCGGGAGTATAACACTCAAACACATAAAATGAGTTTTTGTTTTCACAATTATCCAGAATCAATCATCTTTTTGATCCATGGCCTTTTTTATAAGGACATACACTTGCAAAAGAGTTTTTGGCTAACATTTCCTTTCCTCTTCAATCTTTTTGAGGGTGTGTACATAACAGACACTGAACACTTTCCTGCCCCATACAAAAATTGGAAAGGAAACAGGTAACTTCAAATCTAGCAAGATACTTCCTGGCACACTGGGATGGCATCGCAAAACAAAGACTTAGTTTGAGGAGCTTATATCGTGTCTCTCTATTCATACAATAATAATGTCATCTGACCAACAGTATAAGACCATCATAAGACTAATATGAATTTTTTATAAAAAAAATTATTAGCCCTGTATTTTAGAGATGAGCAGGTTAAAATATTTTCTATAAGAAGTTGGAACTGACTGAAGGTCACATGTTATAAATTTGGTTGAAATGCAAGCGGCTTCAAATCTAATTCACCAAAAATATCCCATTTGATTAATTTGATTAATTCAAAATATTTTTTTAAAAATTTTGGCCATTATGCTATGAACAAAACACTTTTCAGAAGATACTGATTATTCCTTAGCACACTTATTTAACTTCCTTTTTACAAACTTTAAGTTTGTTGTGGTTTCCAACAAATTATTTTAACAAGTGAAGGCAGCCTGTTGAATCTACTTTAAAGAACTAAGAAAAGGTAAGGTTGTTTTCTGGCACTTGGAAACTCCATCAGCAATTTTAGTAGCAGTAGTAGCAGGTAAAAGGCATTCACAATTTATTGTTTGCATACGGGAACTTCTGTGAAATGCAGGGAGTACATAACAATACCATAAAAGAGCTATTTTGAAGGATCTGTGTTCATATTAATATTTGTATTGCAGAACACCAACCATGAAA